TGCGAGGTCCTGGACTCTACAGGAGACTGTCTGTGCGCTCTTGGGGCTGACTTCCTGGGCATGTGAATTGTTGTGTGTGCTGCTTTTTGTCAACCTGACATAAACCTAGGGAATCAAGAAAATGCTTCTATCAGATTGGCCTAGAGGCAAGTCTATGGGGGTGTGTTCTTTATTAACAATTGATGTGGAAGGGATCATCCCACCATCATTGGCGCCATGTCTGGGCAGGTGGTACTGGGATGTCTAAGAAAGCAGGCTGAGCAAAACACGAGGAACAAGCTGATAAACAATGTTCCTCTATGGCCTCTTCTTTAGTTGTTGTCTCCAGGTTCCTGCCCTGCTTGAGTTCCTGCCTTGGCTTCCCTCAGTGATGAATTGTGATGTGGAACTATAAACTAAATAAACCATTTCCTTCCCAAATTGCCTTTGGTCATGGTATTTCATCACAGCAATATAAAGCCAATTAAGGCACCTTTACTTGCACTTGGCTTAATCTTCTGTTGCCCCATCTTGAAGGTTTTCAATATATTGGGAAAGGGGCTCCAGGTCTCATTTTGCACTGGACTAGTGGATGCACATGAGCTGGATCTAGTGAAGCCTTCATGAGAGACGAGCCATCATAATTTATTACCAGAATGTCTCTGTCACTGTGAGGAAACATCATGACCGAAAGCAACTTGTAGAAGAAAGGGTTTATTTCATCTTATAGCTTATGGTCTATCATCCAAGTAAGTCAGTTTGGGAACTCAGGGTAGGAACTAATGGAAACACCATAGAGAAGTGCTACCTATTGGCTATAAGAAAGCTTGCTTTCTTATAGCACCCAGAACCATACACCCAGGGGTGGTATTGCCAGCAGTAAGCTGGGCCCTCTTAACGTTAGTCATTAATGAAGAAAATGTACCACATGCTTGTCCCTGGGCCAAACTAGGGAGATATTTTCTCAACTTAGTTCCCTTCTTTCCAAATGACTCTAGCTTGTGTCAAGCTCTAGCCAGTACATGGGGGTTATATGTGGTAGTGGGGGCTATGCTTCCATGTAACTCAGCTGGTTAGAGGCAGTCAAGGAGACCTGTTTAAAGCAGCAAAGGCTGCCATCACCTTACACCTTTAAAATCCAGAGAGGAAGCCCAGCCCAGAACCACGTCTCACAATACATGTTTTGGGCTGGGTTTCTTTTCTGTAAGAGTCCAAGGTTTTAAATTTTGAAAGAGTTCTCGAATCATTGGGAAATCATTGATGACAGTTTGCCATATTTCCAGCTGTTTAGTGCCAGTAGACAAGCCAAGTTGCCCAGTGGGTACAGGCTGGTATGCTGGGAAATGTGTGGGAGAAAAGGGCCCCCCAAAAAAAACAAAAACAAGAAACAAAAACAAAACCCAAAGCTGGGCTCTTACAGATTTATACCAGCTCATGACATCAGCATTCAAGGATTTTCTCCTGAAAAACTTGATTGGTGGCTTTCCTGTTCTCCTGCATCCCAGTCACCCCTCTCTAGAGTGCCACCATAGAAACTTTAGCATCTTTCTGTCACTAATCCCAACTCTTGATTGTGTGTGTGGGGGGAGGAGTAGTCTCAGTGGCTCATGGGCACCAGTGAACATCCTTTACAGCATCATATGTCTTCCACATGCCACCAAGACTCTGGTGTGGACTGTGAGCCAGGGCAGAAACATATTGGCACGTCCCAGTTCTGCATCTTATTCTCTGGGGACCACTGAGCAAGTGGCTTGGCTTCTCTGTGTCTCCACCCTCCATGTGTAAAACGCTGCAAGGAGAATTAGATGACTGGATACCAGTAAAGTGCTAATAACAGGTAATTAGGTGCTCAGTAAGTATATAGTTAACAAGCTTCCTTCGGTAGCTCAGTTGGTAGAGCGGAGGACTGTAGGTGCATCTTCTAGGTATCCTTAGGTCGCTGGTTCGAATCCGGCTCGAAGGAAGACTCTTTTGGTGAGCTTTAGATTCCAGTTATCAAAAGATAGTATAAAAAGTGTGTAGTTAACAAATTTTAAAAGCATCTTTCCCATTATTATTATATATGGAAATAGATGTGTCTCTGTCATCATATTCCTATTTATAAAAGCTAATCAGCACCTAGCACTCACTGTGCCAAGTGTGGTTTTAAGCTCTTTACAAATATTACCTCGATGAGAACTCAAACATCCCAATGAAACAGGGACTGTTGTTGCTTCTGTTTTGTAGACAGTGACAAACAAAACAACCAAGGCCCAGAGTGGTGGTTAAATCACTGCTAAAAGTAAGAGTGTTGGGCTTCACACTCAGGAACCCAGAGAGCCTGTAGCTTAGCCACTGTGCTTTGCTGATGTATACAACACGTGTTTCGCTGGATGTTCAGGGTTTTTCCCTTTCCAGGAAACTTTAAAGTTTCTTATTTAACAATTTTTCTATAAATGAAGTGCATGAACCCAAAGCATGGAGCATACACATTTTCACACAAACTGAGAAGCCACGTGAGCAGACAAAGGAAGGAGGAGGCTCTTGGGTAGCCCCCGATGCTCCTTTCATTCACACTCATTTTGCACTTTATGGAAATGGAGGTCCAGGGTGCATTCTTTTGCTTCTGTCATCTATGGTTCAACATTGTGTGTATGTGTGATCTACCTACACAGAAGCGGGGATACAGGTGCTGGAGATCTCTCACTCCAGCTACCCTCAGTGCTCCAATTACAGTGTTTACCATGAGTGGGCATTTGGGAACTTTCTCGTGTCCTGTTCTTTCAAAGAGAACTGAGAGCTCAGACTATGGGGTTCTATGACATTGTGACTGAGCCTTGAGACAAAGAACTCAGCTCAAATCAGACTAGGAACTGTTCCCTCATGGGAAGAATAATTCTAACCTCTCAAGAGCTGGAGTTCCCCATGTGAGGTCAAGAGCTCATATACTTGGTGACCAAACCCCGATGAAGCATTCTGTGTATGGCCAGCCATGTGACAGCCAGCCCCTGATCTTTTTGAACTTCCAGACTCTCCAAGGGCCACACAAGAATGAGCCAATTCTAAAAGTTATCTCCAGAGTGATGAGGAAATGGAAAAGATCAAGTAGGGGTTGATGATGCTGCTGCAGATGCCCAGGGAGGGTGTCTGGTCCTTATTTATTGACTTACAAATAATCATTAAGCAAGGTTGGCCCCAGAAGTGGATGAGTCTGCACATCTGCTTTAATGCTCGCCTGGGACTGGATTAAGTGTCTTCATTTTTGCTTTAAGAAAGCTGTAGCACCTGCTATGCATGTCGTTAGTCCCATTGGGAAGTTGAGGGTGGAAGAAGCTGCTACCTCTTCTGGGTGAGGGAGGAAAAAATTGTACTATGGAACTTTCCCAATGGTGACATTGACAGACTCAGTTTATATTGCCCTTGCCTCCTCCATTGTTGTTTGTCTGCAACTTACAAGTTCTGAACCTGGCTCTGAAGCAAATCAGGATCTTTACTTTCCATGGGGCTTTACAAGGCTTGGAAGTCCTGCAGTGTGGACCCTAGTGATTAATGACATTGGGGCTTTCTCCATTGTGCAAGCCACAGGAAGGAAGGAAGGAAGGAAGAACACTTAACAGGAGAGGGTGTCCACGTGTTGGGCCTTTGCACTTCAGATCCTCTTGGGAGGGAAGTTGAATCCTTCAGTCCACTCCCTAGTTGGATTGACTCTGGTTCCGGATGGGGCTATGACCTGGGCCGGGTCATCAAGCTGTGACCTTGGGTCATCTGGGCTGTGCTTTGATGATCTGTCACCACATCAGCCAAGGCTCAACAAACTACTGCTGAGGACCAGAGATGTAATCTTCCAGGTCCACACCCTAGATCTTTCACTAGTATTTCCAAGGGGGAAAATACACCAACACAGTGCCCCAAAGATCGTGGTTGTTTCTAGGCACTTGTCAGCAAGGAATGGATGCTTTTAATGAGCACAGACGTAGCGAGGCAACATAGTTATTTGAAGACAGGAGTTGGATACTCCCCTTCACGTTTAGAACTTTAGTTAGAAGTGGGAAATTTTGAACAGACAGCTCTGCTTTCCTGTCTCCCTATGGGATGACATTGAACTTAGTTCAATCATGCTTCTTGGAGGGTCTGGGGGTATCAAGAACCTTTGTCTCAGAGGTAACCTACTCATTGTCATTCCTGTTGGCTTTGCTCCCTTCCTTTACTTGATTCACTCATGCTTTCTGGAATTTCTCCCTCTCTCTCAAGCAAGCTCACTGTACCCCAGATTGCCATACTGGTCTGCTTTGGGAAGTCTGAATCGGGACTTGGGCTTAATGATTTGGATCTACTGTTTTGTCCCAGGTCCCACCTGACTACCCTTCAGTCACTCTACTTGAAATCCCAAAATAATGTCTTCTTGTCACTCTTGGGAGACAGAGTCTTACTCTCTAGCCTAAGTCTTGCTATGGGGACCATGTAGACCTGCAACTTTTGGCAATTCTCCTATCTCTACTTCTCATGAACCTTCAAAGTCATTTGTCCCTGAGTAGCTGCCAGGCCACCATGAAATAGGGCCATGGGTAGTTTTCTGAATTCTTGCTAAGGCAGGGTATGGAGCCGTCTACTGATCTGCTTTTGAGTGTGAACAGAGATGTCCCTGGAGGCTTTCTCTCTGCCTCCAGAGTCACCTCAGTGGGTGGAGACATATGTACAGTGGTTTCAGGCCTTGGCATGTGAAGCCCAGAAACAGCGGTACTCCTAGGAGTATGAAGGGAGAGCCCCTTGCCTGTATCTGATGTATGTTCATGTGAGCAAAGGCTGTTTCTAAAGACAGAGGGCATGTGCCCAAAGCTGTCCTAATGGGCAGCCCTCCCTGAGGGACTTCCTTCACTTGCTCCTTGAGGTCCAGTGGTAGGAGTCATGGAGGGACAGGAAAACACCAAGTGAGCAGAGGAGTTTGGAGCCAGAACTGTACAGTCAGGTTGCCTGGATCCTGACTTCACCTTTTCCTGTGGTGGGTGACATTCGAGCAGTTTCTTGTCATCTCTGTGTTTCAGTGTCTACACCTGTAGCTTGGGGAGCACTCACTGGCTTATGCAACCAAGATGGCAGCTCATGACAACCATCTCTGGATGCTGAGGTGAGTGCTAATTTTCTATCTTTTCTGATTTTTTTGTATAATGTGTATGCTAATACTCTTACTGCTATTAGAATATTAAAAGGCAAATTCTGCCTTTTTGTTTTTCTTTGAGACAAGGTCTTTCACTGTGAAGCCCAAGCTGGCCTAAACTCATGATCCTCCTGCTCTCTCCTTCCTGAGTGGTTTATAGATGTACTCAACCACATCCAGCAAAAGACAGTTTCTGAAAGACTGATAAAGAGGATAAGAGGAAGGAGGTAGTTATGCATAGGGTGGATTTTGGAGGTAACCAGTAGCCATTTTGGAGTCATGTAGCCAAGGGTCCATCTGAGCCATTATTCTTTGTGGCAGGAACTTAGCAGTTCAAGCTCTCAGGTGGTCCACAGGAGGCTGCACTGTCGGGGAGCAAGACACTGTGACAGTTACTTTCATATTGCTATAATTAGTTACCTGACAAAAACAACGTGTGTGTGTGTGTGTGTGTGTGTGTGTGTGTGTGTGTGTGTGTGTGTGTGTTTATTTTAAATCATGGCTCAAGAGGGTGCAACACATCATGATGGCAAAGGCATGGTGGTTAGAGATGGAGGAGGTTGCCCAATGGGGGAGAGGGGGAAGCTGGCTGTGAAGCTTGTCATTAGGTACAGACCAGGAAGCAAAAGGGCTCAGTGGGTTATAACTCGAAAGGTCTGACTCTAGTGGCCAACTCTACTACTAGGCGTTACATCTCAAAAGTCCTATGACCTCCCAAAATAGCACCACCGGGTATTCAAACACACCACCCTGGGAGGACACTTCACATTAAAACTATAACATTCCCAGAGTGAGGGCTGAGTTGGGGCAGCAGAGCTGGAGGGAGCTGAGAACATGAGTAGGGAGGGCAGGATCTGAGGAGGTTAGAGCCTGCAGACACCCTGCAGGAGGTGTCAGCTTCTCTTATAAGGGTGTTCCCCATATGGTTTATAAAAGGAGAAACCAAGAAAGCCAGACTTGGGAGTACAGGCTTATCATCCAGCATGCAGGAGACTGAAGGAAGAGCATTGCCCTAAGTTTGAATGAGTTTAACATCAATGTAGGCTACACACATAGTGAGACCCTGGAGGGAGAAGATAGAGGTGAAAGGAGAAAGGAGAGATGAATGAGATATATCCAGACAGCTCCATCCCTGATTGTAGCTCTGATGAGCTTCTGAGTCTGTGACAGGGAGCCCAAGAGGAGGAACATCTCTGTCTGTTACAGTTAATGCTTGCTCACACAGAAAGAGTATATGAGAAAAGGAAAGAAAGAAAGAAAGTACAAAATGAAAGAAAGAAAGAATACAAAACAACAACAAAATGTTACTGAGGTGGGGTCTCACTTTGTATTTCAGTCTGGCTTTGTGACCCTCCTGCCTCAGCCTTATGAGTGCTGAGACTGGAAGCTTGTGACACCAGGTCCAGCTTAAAACAAACAATCAAAAATTGAATTTCTCAATTGACTTAACCTGAACACAAACTGAACTCTATGTGGGCTAGCTTTACCTAGGTGCTGTATTCAGAAAGAGTCTAAAATGGAGACTGTTTATAATCTTTAGAGGGTTCTATTTTTTTTCTTGTGACTATCAGAACACTTTAATGTGTATGACATTCATCTCTAGAGAGATGCTTCCCCGCCCCCTCTGTTACTCTTTTCCTTCTTCCATTTCCTGTGGCTGCCCCAGGCACACACTCATCTCCAGGCTGCACCAGCTTCCTCTTCCTTCTCTCCACAGGTCTCCCTTCGCTGCTTCGCTGCCAGATGTCCTTGGAATTTCAGCTCTGGCTGAGGCGCTCGCTGGAAGGACTAGATGGAGACTGTGAACAATTTTTGCCCACAGCCCTTCCTCGTTCCTTACAAAGGGATTCATGCAGAGATCACTGGCCAAGAGAACAGACATGGGATGGGCCTAGTGAATTTGGAACCCTGGGTCATCTCTTGTTCACCCCATGACATGGAACACACTATAGAACAATTAGGAAATCCAGCCTCTGAGGGAGGAAATCAGGGAGATGTAACAAATACATTTACTTAATTCACTTCCTCTGACAGTGCTAGGTCTAAAGGAGTTAACTCTCCATCCAGATGGTGCAGCAAGGCCAGGTTTGACTCAAACATGGGTGACCATCATTCAATGTTTTGTAGTCATATGGGCTCTGGCACAAGACTGCCTGCCTTGAAATCTCAGTTCTATCTCTTATTTGAATCCAGATAAACAGCTTAACTTCCTCTGTAAAGCAGGGTGAGTAGTGGCACCTACCTTAGAGAATTTCGGTGAGGGCCATACACACTAACCCTGTGTGAAGTGGTTAGAAGAGCAGTTGGCATGTGGCAAGGGGCCCATAAGTGTTCACGGCTTTGCCTAAGTAGAGTAGGAGGTGGAATCAAGATTTAAAACCAGTCCAGTGGGTTTACAAATCTGAGCCGGGAACCACAGCCCTGCCTCCTCCCCCAAGCTAGTGAGGGACCACTTGAGGTTACAAATGTTCCCTCCTTACTGAGAGCAGAGTCTCAAAGAGGCATTTGCACACTCATACACACAACAGCAAGATAGCCAAACAATGTGGGAGCAACCCAAAGTTGGCTAGACAAACAGAACAAGGTAGATTCTGACGTAAACTACATCATGGATGAACCTAAGGACACACACACACACACACACACACACACACACACACCATTCCACTTCTGTGGGGACATTTTATGTCTTCACAGTCACAGATAGAGAAAGCAGGCAGGCGGTGGCCTTTGGGGCTGAAATAAGGAATGGCTTCTGGGTGTAGTTTTAGTTTTACAAGGTGGAAAGGGGCTCTGGGTGGTGACTGTTGCACAGTGAAAGGAATACTTAATGCTTAATGGCATGCCTAAAATACTTACGTGCTCAAGAGGGGTGATTTTATGTGATAGTTTGCCATCGATTAAACATACATTGAAAAAAGTTTCCCTTGGGCTAGGGAGATGGTTCATTCAGTAAAGTACCGCTCAAGCAGGAAGATCTGTGTCTGGATCTCCAGAACCCACATAGAAATCTGGGTGTGGCAAAGCATACCATAACCCCAGTGCTGGGTGAGTTGGAGATGGGGCAGGCACAGATCCATCCCTGAAGCACACGGACTAGAAGTCTAGCTGAATCAATGAACTTTAGATTCAGTGAGAGACCCTATCTCAAAATATAAAAGAGGAAAGCCAATTGAGGAAAGGCACCTATTGTCAGTCTCTGGCCGCCATATGCACACATAGCACTTTCACAGGTAGAATGTTCATGTGCTAAAAAAATACACGTTCACACTAAAAAATACATAACACACACACACACACACACACACACACACACACACACACACACACACACACACACACCTCTTTAAAGTTTTAAAAAGAAAAAAGAAGCTTTGTCTCTTCCACTCCAGGAAAAAGGGACAACTGTGTTCAGAGTGTCTTTGCTGCTGTTCTGTGGACTATGGGGTGCCAAGATGAACACCATTCACTCACTCATGCCCTGGACATGTGAGGGTGTTCAAGAAGCCAGTGAGTGACAGGAGGAGTCCATGGGTGTTCTGCTGGGCAGGGCATACAACCAACATAGCCATCCTTGTCCTTCTGGAGGAAGATCAAGTAGATCGGAAGTGGTCAGAGCAGTTGGGCCTTTCAGATGGATCCATTTTGGAAGATGTGAAGGTCTTATTTTATCACTAGCAAATTGGTTTTGTTGTTACCCTCTTTGCTTGGGTGTGGGATAGGAGTAGGTACACCTGGCTATGTCCCCCCTCCCTTTCTGTCCCCAAAGCTCTACACAAATTGCCTGGTCTGAGAGCGAGAATAACTCTTGTGTCAGGTGTGGCAGTGATTGCTTTTCCTTGCCTAGCTGACTGGCTAATATCTGCTGAGATTCAAGTGGAAGTGGAAGGTTTTTTTTAGCCTCCATCCCCCCCCCATGGCACCCCATGCTGGTGGGTGGGAGACCCTGAGTGGGCAGAAACTGGTGGGTGGGAGACACCAAGTGGGTAGGAGACCCCAAGAGGACAGGTGTTTTTGGGAGGGAGACCAAGGGCAGGAGCTGCTTGCAGCCTTGATTGGAATCTGGAGGAAAGCAAGACAATTTGGAACTTAGAAAGTCAGGGAGGCATTGAGCTAACCAACAAATTGAGATCCTCCCCCCACCTCCTTCCTTCTCCTTCTCTTTCGGCTTCATTTTTCTCCCTGTCTTCCCAGAGTCCCTCATCCCATTTCTCTCTGCCAAGTGATTGCTGTTTCTTACTTGAAAACCTCATTTAGACCTTTTGGCCAGTGGCGACTCTGATTGTTTCAGATTCACACCTTGTTTTAGCTGGGCACTCCCTGAAATAGCTCCATAGGCAAAAGCTGATATACAGGGAATTTCTTCACAATGTTCTCAGGGAGCAGGTGTTTAAAACAGACAGGGGTGTGGAGGAATGCTGGACAGAAGGAACAAAGAAGGTGGAGAAAGTCACCAAGGGTTCATGACAGAATGTATTTCCTACTGTCCACCTAGGGTGAAAGGAAAACATTTCTTCATCTGTGTCTACCCTTCCTGTCTATGGAGGTGGCCTCATGGTCTTTGGACCTCCTTGAATACTTGGGATGCTCATGGCTGGAGAAGGTTAAATGGACTCCTTCTGGCCCAAGGAGTCCTAAAGTGTCAGAAAAACCTGGGAACAGGAAACAAAAAGAGTAGGGTTGAGTCAAGGAAGTGAATATAACTGATATGTCTGGGTTCCTGTTCTTACTGGGAAATGGAGATCCGAACACTTGCTTTCTGCTGGTAGGATGTCAGTTGGGTTAAGGCTTAGTTGCTGTAATAGAGAGGTCCTCAATCTCAATGGCTTGGTGTAATGGAAGTTTTTTTTCCTCTTAAGCAGTTGTCTTCAAGCAATGAATGGGACCTTTTCCAGCTCTGGTTCTTCAGTTCATAAGTATCTTGTGTGCCTCAAGCTGAGGACAGTGATTATGGCCTGGATAGTCCATGG